CAATGAGGCGAGGGGATATCCTTGCTTGTTTTCCTCCCTTCCATCATACCCCCAAGGAGTGATCGTTCTAGCAACGGACTAAATTGAGAGGATCACTAACATCAAATCAACTGTATGCAGTATTGGAAGCTACTGCCATCCACCGACAACGAAACGAACTGGAAGCTCGATTGGCAAGAGCCATATTCGTCCTGTGAAAACTGAACTGAACTGAGCTGAAAAGTTGTTTTACTACTCTGCCGTAAGGGTCACAAGTTGATTGTAGGGAGGTGCGCACTGTTCAGTTGGAAGAATATCCTGGCCTTTTTCTCATGATGTTCGGCACAAATAATATGTGAGCTGTTCATTTCCTAATCGGAAACGAACTTTGTATTGATGTCTTTCCAGGAATTATGTTTCCAATCAGGATGCAGCATCCAAAGGATCTTTACCCATATTTACCATTACTCACGGAGCCAAAACCTACGGCGAATCCTCGGAACTAGACTTGGTCCATTCTGGTGTAGTCTACGCAAGGTCACATATGGAACATATTGTCGGTCTTGACATTGATAAGGAACCGTCCGCCGTGAGAAACACTGGGATAATTTGCACTATCGGTAAATAATATACACAGATTTATTCTTACAGTACATAAACTCCTGGTAACACACGGGAGAGATTCTTCGTCTCCTGGAAAGCTTCAGATCAATGCATATTGCATTTGTCGCATCATACGGAACATATATAGTCTCGCTGTTCCCATTTAAAACATTTTGTACCTTACTAATCGTTGATCTGTAATTTGTCCCTTAGGTCATCTACCTTCGTAGTAAATTAACATGTAATCCGTCACTGTGATTTAACTAACCAAGCAGAACCAGGGCGGCTATTTGCAGAATAAATTAGCTAATTTATTCCCTAAATGGTCACAATAGCGTTGGTAGTAACACCCCCTACGATTTCGCAACGATGCCTACTGATGTAGGCGGAATATGAAACTGTTTAGTACCGTACGAGTGGAACACTCGTTTCGTTCATTACAAAAAAGTGCACAGTGTGTTGCGTCGAACACGAAAGATTGCGCTGCATTTTCGCGTTTTTGCTGCAGGGTTGTTGCAAATGGTCATAATTTTCGCGAAATCATTCATCATAAGGTGCGAAATTCTACGAGTTATTTTCATCCTTGTGCTGGTAGAATCTTTTGCAATTCATTCATTCAACGGTTGTTTTGACTTTGGTTCTTTTCCGGCTAGAGTTCACAACAATTACCACGACTGCTTACATGGCCAGTTAATTTGTCGAGTTAAAGTACTCTTTCAGTCTTTGTCAACATTTATCTTCATTGCACAATGAGTAGATGCATTGATCCATCGTGAAGTGGTAATAATGGTCACAGCTCTTCGTGAAAGTCGTACGTTGAAATTCTGAATCGGAAGTATGTTGTTGCCCGGTATTGGTCTTTATCCTATCTGAAAGATCTGCGGGACCATCTTTGTCCCCAAGGTCCGTGGCTTGAACACCAATACATCGTCAATATCTAAATGATAACGCATGAAGTTCATCCTGATGTTAGCCGCGCGGGCGATTCTCTTCCTCACTTAGTTTGCGATGTTTTCTATTGATTTGGCAGAAAAATCCTGAAACACCCTGCCGCTGCGCGTCTGTAGACATTACTCTCTTTTTAAAGCTGTGTTTAGTAATGGTTTCTAGTTCACTCGCAATCAACATCAGTCTTAGCCTCTTATAATAACCTAGCTTTTGTGTACTTCTGCACAGAGTCCAAAATTACCGGCTCTTCTAACAATTTAGATCCTCCTCACCACGGTAGCTTTCTCTTGCATTTCATGATGTACTACGGCCCTTCATAAATTTTTGTAATCCACTCAACGCAGAAATCTAATAAATGCATAAAACCGTTCCCTTGCCCGAATCTTTTCAAGGACCCGCTTGTCGATCAGTCGAAATGCTTGTCAAAATGATGGACGCGGGTATGAACATATGCCGATTGAACTTTTCACACGGGTCTCACGAGTACCATGCCGAAACAATCAAATTAATTCGCCAGGCTGTGGATTCGTTTAAAAATACAGTGCGACCAGTCGCAATCGCGTTGGATACCAAGGGGCCAGAAATTCGCACGGGGCTTATACACGGCGTAAGTTCTCACTGATGGTATCTTTGAAATATTTATCCGTTTTTGACACGATCTTCCCCCAACGGTACCGTTTTTGTCCATTCTATGAAGGAGAATAAATAATGAAACGCATTCCTCATGCAGAGCCAGTATGTCGTTCAAAAATTGAAAACCTTGGAAGCAATGCACAATTGTTTCATCACCGATGCATGCCCACCTAATTCACTCTGGAATCTGGGCACCGGGGGTTGTTTGTCTGTCCCGCTAATTACGGTAGTTATTCAAACTGACTCTGATCCGCTTCACCACTGCGTGATATAACACACATCTCTCACTCTTTGAAAGTTCAGAATTCATCAGAATGCGATCGAATCCCTTTCGCATTGGAATTATGTGGTGATTACGTTTTACTGAAGAGAATTAAATTAATGTATAGGATTTAAGGTGCAGGTATTGCACCTATTATGACACTGCTTGAAGCTAATCGCTATTCTTCGACTATGGTTTCCTGCTCACAACGATGCTTTTGGTTCTTTTTATTCTAAAACTAACATGGGTTGCCTCAGTGTTGATAAATTTATCGAGCACGTCAATTTTACTTAGAGGTGAAGAAGTGCAGTAAAGGCTTTGGCAAACCCAAAGAAACATACTGACATATTTAACTATTTGTCCGCTATAGCAACAGAATAATTCTATTTTAAAGTATAGATTATTCAGCTTGCGATAGAGGCTGTTCTGTTTGCCGGGTTTATCAGAAGATGGAATTTAACTGATTCCGGGAACCAAAGTTCGATAGTATCGCTTCGCTGAATGAAAGTGCACAGGCTTTGAACCGCTAAGTGCTCGAAGTGTCCAGATATGTTATGTGATTTACGCCAACCAAATGCACACTATTATTGTAAAACTGCGAGGATTCTACACTTAGTCACTCTTCACAGTGATCTGCTAGAGAAATCCGAAAGCTTTGGGAAGGAAGTCACGTCACATAGCTAAAGCTAGTGAGTTTTGCCACCCTAACCCTGTGGTGCCTCCTGGATATCCGATTTCCCCTCAACGAAACGGCGCACGTCGCCTCAGTTTCTAGCTTTTTGCTTAAAATTTACGAAGCGTGTCCTCCGGAGCCTTAGGCTAGTCAAAACCAGCTGGGCGGTGTGAAAACCGCAATCCATTGTGGCACGGTGTCCAGTTTATCAGATCATACGCCCTTTGGACGGGGTCAAACTTCCAAGGTGTCCAATACACCTCGATGACCAGCCTCAACCCTAGACACCCATCCCCGACCGCAGTGGGGCTTGTGGAGGCTAACACTGTCCCCGACCCGTTTAACACGGGGTCGTCAGGGCATCAAAGCAAGGATACAAATTTCGGATCTCAAGTGCAGAACACGCTACCGCCCTAGAACTCTCCGTGGCATCGCTTCACGACAACACGGATCATTGGCACCAAAAAGTGAAACTGTCTTTCATTTGCAACGAAATGAAAAGTTGCCCAATGGTTTAGTCGTCACCGGCGTGCTATGGATCCCATGGTCTGAAATTCGAACCACATCGCCCAACTTTGATGGTAGACCACCTTGCTGTTGTCCGGCTCAATGCCACGCCTGTCCTATTGGGATCTTATTTGGTTTGGCACCCCAAGTCCCGGGACCATAGGTTACCGATTTCTGTCACTGAATCACAGGTGTACGTCACCGTGGGGGTTACCCCGTCTGGCGTTCTTCACACAAAAATGTCGAATAAAAAATGGGGTCCTTACAGTAAACTATCCATGGCTTTCACTCCATGTTGTTGCTAATACCGTTTGTTCAATCTATGCGTATCCTTGTTGGCACTCGGTCTGGCTCCATCGTAAACGTTTGGGGAAAGGACAGGGTCTGTGCAATGTCACTGAATTCTTATTGAAATAAGACAGCCCTATGGTGCATTACCCTATTTTCCCTATTTTCCTTCCCAGAGTGGTACCAGTGAAGTTCTTCTGGAGGCCGGACATGCCATTCGAATTACAACAGATCAAACATACATGGATAACTCGTCCGAAAAGATGCTATTTGTCGATTACCAAAATATTGTCCATGTAGTTGATACGGGCTCCAAAATTTTCATTGATGATGGATTAATCAGTCTAGTTGTAAAAAGCAAAGGTGAGTCTTCTGTTTATCCTACACCTGAAATGCAAACCAGCATCGTTTGCCATCACACGTATTGATAAATTTCTTTTTCTATTGCTCTGCCAGCCATTCGTATGTCGTCATCTCTTGTTTAGCT